TTTATCAAACGTATCAAATTCGGAGTTTTTATTTCAAAAGAAATATGAATAATTCAATACTAATTACACTAATTATAATACTAATTTATTCTCAAAGAATTAATGCAGGTACTGACTATAAAAAACGTCGACAAATGGATGGCGTTGGTTTGCGGACCACTATGAATAGTTTTAAAACTTATGATGAAATCCTCAAACACCCTTTTGATTTTAATTTACACGGAGATGACATGAAAATCTTTGACGAGTTCCTGAAATATCTTATTGATGGGTGTCTGGATCCCAACAAATGGTTTGAATCTATCATATAACAGTCCCAGCATGATTTAGTGGTTGGAAGTAACCCTCTCTTCTATTCAATTCATCGTATAAACTAATTCGATATTATCAAAACAGAAAAAGCAGTGATGAGTAAACTGGATTAAAATGGTTACTTTTCCTTGTACACCGTGTCTACTAGTATTTATATTCTGTAACTTTGATGATAAATTATCAAGTATATACTAAATTAACAAACGACTTAATTCATACCATACTTCAGACGGATGCCTTATTAAATTTATCTCAAGTGTTAATATAATTTATGAGTAATCAAACCCACATGCTCGGTCATTAATAATTACAACTTTAATAATCTCTGCTAATAACAAACACACTTTATATTAGCTTAGGGGAGGGTTGCGCACGGACTTTAACCTGTGATTCCAGCATACCATTATCAAAGAAACTCTACTGATTAGACCTTGAACAGTGTATTCATCCCTTGATACACAAATCAACATTTTATCTGTACCACAGTTTATCGAGGTCATTACTCAATAACTCTATTCTCAAACCTACGATCAATCATTCTTGGCTTAACTGTGATGTACACAATTACATTAAAATGGGAAAGGATAAAGGTGATGGTGGTTTATAACCTACAAGTGCTACATTGAATTTTATATGACAAAGTGGTCAAGCATTTGTCCAGCATGGATATAATATGCAGAGCGATCTGGTAGTACCAAGATTGTTGCTATTGTAAAGAGCGAAACGTCATAACGTCGGACATCTAAGGTAGAAGAGTCAAATACAAATGAGACCTACTTAAACTGCATTTATTGAGGCTGATATTGTTCTAAAAGTCTTCATCAGTGTTACTGACGAAGTAGTGTGTCTTCTGAAAAGCGGTTTGAGGTTGTAGGTTAGTAAATTTCCAAGAAAAATACACACGATACTCATGCAAACATTAAGTCGGGTTCATTTAGATACTAGTTTCAAATTTCCTAATAATATGACTCATTATAAAACAGCTAGATAGTATTAGCGGGAACAGTTCCATGCAGGTTGATTCCTTACAAGAAAGACAAACGCTACCAAAAACGAACTCATAGTATCCGAACAATCTCCATCATCCATAAATCATTTAAAGTTACTAGTTATATTTGATAGACAAGGTTTTATACACTAGGGGATCCCGATATCAAATCCTGCCCAGAAGACATTGTACGAGGAGCTCAAGTATGAACAGAGTTATTTCCAGTGAATTACTCGTCTTGTCAAAGTCACGGATCACTTACACTCGCCCGGACAAGTCTAATATAAGATAAACTAGGCGTCTTGCGTCTATGCTTATGCGGCCGTTGACAGTAAATCTTTACACTTGCTATGTACGGATGGTTGAACAGGTACTAGGAAGTGTGTACTGTGACTGAGTCAAACAGGACAAGCCTTACCTGCGTTTTTTCCCATAAAATTGAGATGGAGTTTGGAACCGAATGCATAAAAGCAACAGCAAGTATTTTGATGAGACTGATGTATATATTCAAGTGCGGTAAGTTCACACAACTACAACAATGTTATTACATAACTCCATGGTGCATGTAGGGCATCACTAACTTACTAACTGATAAGCGAATATATAAGAAATAAAATATCGGAAAAGATGTTTGACGAAACTCTTATCTCCACCAGTTAGTCAGCTACAACGTAGGACCAGGCACATATATGCATCGGTCCAAGTTGCCATACCTCATTAACACAGCAAGATGAACACTGGATTCATAGGAGTGGTTAGGTCAAAGGTGGTAATATATAGGAGAAAAATTGCATATAAGGATATAGTACAGGAAGAAAGAATTAGTTCGTAGAAAGATATGAGATGATTTTAATCTCTTAGTTTAAGGGATGACAGGGAGTGTATACACTGACGCCATTGTGATCGATTCTGAGCCATGTCACCAAGAGTCTCCAACCATTGGTTACGATAGTCACGCGGACCCCAACCAAGTAGTCTGCATCTACCAACATGGCTCAGACCAGAAGTTAGTGACTTCAAGCACTGATGCCACGTTTTAATTTGGCCGCCCCTAATTCTCTTCCAACCATCTCTAACACCCGTTAGCATTGCACGTCGTGGTAATCGGTGTTCAGGCATACGTAACACGTGGCCCAACCATCTCAGTCGATGAAGATTTACAACCTCATCAACTGATTTACCATCCTTCCCTAATACCATGCGTCTAACCTCACTATTACTTACCCGGTGATCCCGGCAGACGCCAGCAATATTTCTAAGGCATCTGTGGTCAAATACTAGTAGCTTACGAGTGTCTTCTACTCTCAATGACCATGTTTCGCTGCCGTAAATTAAAACAGAACGGACTACCGCGCAGTATACTCGTCCTTTTATTGATAGACGGATATCTCGCCTTCGCCATAGGTGACGTAAGTTGGCAAAAGCCAAGCGAGCTTTTAGAATCCGTGCTGAGATTTCGTCAGACACCAACCCATTACGGCTGATCAGACTTCCAAGATAAGTGAAGTTGTCAACGCGTTCGACTACTTCACTCCTTATCCGTAGTTTAGGTGTTGAGGCAATTATTTGTTTGAACACAAACACTGGCACAAGGAAGCACCAAATACATATGCGTCACACAATAACAATGAGGTTGTGGAGATAGATAATATAAAGTGCGTATAACAAAAAGAACATCAAACAGAAAATGGTGCATGAGCGAAATACTACCACTAATAATAACGAGGGGAGAAATAATTTGGTTAGTAAAAATACAACCAGGACGTTACTGTTAACTTTAATTGTCATTAATTTGGGAGCGGGCTGAGATACCACACGGATACCCAAACCGATAGCAGATTTTTATGGGGCGGAGGCACCTCAAGCCTTTGATCCAAAAGGCAGTGGAGCGACGTCAGGAGATACAGACCTATGGTAGTCAGAGACCAACAAACGGTTCACACTCCACTTGTTCCCTCGGGGTACTAGAGACAATGTGCATCACTGATCTGGAATTACGGTTTTCCTCCCCCCTACGTGAGTCCCCCGTACCCACCAACCCGGTTAAGGAACCAGACATTCGCCTTTTGTCCTCTCAATTTAATAGACAACACCCCAACCACGAGAAGGCAGTGAGTAGGACTCCCTTGACTTTTGTAAATTGAAGTGAATGAGATGCCAAATATTTGATATCCACTTTTAATCGGTAGGCGTTCGGAAATTGCCCCGGCAAAGAATTAGTTTTGGAAAATGTACCACCCAAGGTTTTGGGGAACATTAAATCAAGTTCTCATTATTTTTGACATATGGAAACAAGATGCATTTGCTTATCAGAACCAAATATCATTTGGAATTCTGCAGTAGGAACTTTTGGGTTCAGTATCGACCAAACAAATAAGGCGCAAATTTGTTAATTAATTATTTTTCTTACGAATCTTCACATTGTTTTGCTCACTGGAATCAGAACTCTTTCGTACTACATCCGAATATTTAGAACCGGATGCATAGTACTAATACCAAGACATTTACAAAGCTATCATTTGAAACAAGCTATTTAAACCTCATTAACAATCGAAGTTTAATAACAACACTAAAATATACACACAGATGTTTTCGACTTGCGGTGATTGGAGCTCGATGTTTCTCCCCTGAAAACTATTTCAGACGAATCGTTAGTTACGAAAGACTTATCAGCGTTTCTCAATGGTTTGAGCCGAAGTTACCACTAATTAAGGCTGAGCGTACAAGGACCTATAGGATTTCTACACTGAAATGCTCATTCATATACCATGAATAGATCGATGTCAAATCGGAGATTAGAATTTGGCAGAACACAAAGAGTGTATGCACCTGCGCCATTGCAAACGATTTTGAACCATGTCATTCAGGGTCTCTAACCATCGGTTGCTATCATCTCGCGGTCCCCAACCAGGTAGTTTACACCTACCAACATGACTAAGTCCACTTGTCAGTGACTTCGTGGATTTGTACCATGTTTTGGTCTGGCCGCTCATAGCTTTCTTCCAACCTACTCCTATACCATTGAACATCGCACGTCGAGGCAGTCGGTCGTTGTGCATACGTAACACGTGTCCAAGCCATCTCAACTGATGAGGTTTCACTACTTCATCAATTGATTTGCCATCCTTACCTAGTACCCGTTTCCTAACAACTGTGTTACTTACTCGATAGTCCCAGAATATACGAGCAATGTTTCGAAGACACCTATGATTAAATACTAGTAACCTACGAATATCCTCTACTCTTACCGGCCATGTTTCACTTCCATAAAGTAGGACGGAACGAACTGCTGTACAGTAAACACATCCTTTGGTTGACAGACGGACTAAATACAATTCTAAAGCAACTGAGTCTCACTGAGGAAACACGAACATGGTAAGACCAGAGCATCTACTTGTGATCAACTTGCTTTTGCTGCTGTGATTGATGAAAAGCACATACTTAGTAATAAAATTTGGACCAACTGAAGCAAAAGCTGACTGACCGAAAATCTAATCTCATGTGTTTCTGTATTCCAGTAAGTTTGAATGACATAAAGAATAAGAAGCAGTAGATAGAAAGTTATTGTTTACAAACATCATAGTACAATAAATATATGCTTGCAACAGTTTATCCATGAGATCAATTTTCTGTTGCAACAGGGCACCAATGATAGACTAACAAGCACATGCAAATATAACAAGTATTAGTTGAATACATGTTAGAAATTATGCAAACCCAAACGAAACATAGAATCGGTGATGAGGAAACAATGGTTAAATTTGCGTAGGAAAAACACTTCGCAAAACGGTAGTACCTGATCTTCATCACACTAAAAAAAGATAATACAGGGGAATGCAAGTAATCATATTGAAAAATACAGACATAGTTATTGAGAGTATCTTATAAAATATTTTCAAACTTAGACGCACCTTAACTGATTTTTAGGCTCTTGTAGCGTAGACCTTATCTAATAACAATTGTGTGGGAAGTTAAACTCAACAAACAAGTACAACCAGACGAAGCAGAAAATCATAAGGACACTTCTAAGATTGGTATGCGGCTTGTTCGTGGTGACCATCTATTGAGACCTTATTTGAGATACCTTTTAGGATATACATCTAAGTACAGATAGAATTTAGTTGGCAATGACGGAAAACAAAAATGCTGTCTGAATAAGTTGAATAGAAATCCTAAATATTCTCTTCAGTCATCCCACACTTGATTTGCTAAAATTAGACGAAAAGTATCTCTTTAAAAGATAAGTCACAATCGCGAGTTTCAAAATTTAGCTAACTAGATATATGATGTTAAGGCATACAAGCAAACCTGATTCAGATACACAATATTTGATCTGAACTCCAATTAGATGGTACAAGAGGTTATGAAATAGAAGGGTATGAATTATCGATAACTTATGTCTACTTGGTGTTTATAAGTAGTACGGTGAAAGGGCATAGAAAATGCAAACAAGTTACCAGTTAAAGGCTTGATAAGAACGGTGAAGACGTAAACCCGATGTTAGTAAAAGAGCGACGAATTTGTAAGGAAGTTAGTTTAGATGATGGACATGGCTTGTAAATGAGAATGTTAGGGATGAGAAATTCTATCAAATGACCACTAGTCCTAGATTAACCACAGCTGATATTTCTGACAGAAGTTCGGAAAAATATTAGTGACAGGAACGATATTTCGTTACATGAACACCGGTGAGGCTATAATGTATGGACTAACCAATAAGACTTACGATAACAAGCTTTGACGCTAAATTGTCCATTCATTTGGTTAAATAGCTTTTTGGAATTTTATCTGTTAGTTCGTGATGAAAAACCCAAAACCTAATTGCTAACTGTAAACCATAATTCTAATGGACACCTACATTTGGACATGCAGCGAAGATCATAACATTTAACACTTAAGATTCTTAACTATTGGTCTCGATGATCTTGATGGCTTTACTTAGTGTTTTTCTTCAAAGTTTCAGTACGTCAACTTCAATCCAAATACTGTGAAATCTACTTTGGGTAATATCCTTGATTAGTTTAAAAGGATATCTATCAGTAACATAATACTGGACTGTTTCGAAAGACTGGTTTTGGGAACTTTTGATAACCGGCAACGCTCTATTTAAAAAGACAATGGTATTCTTTCTCGTTGAGTTAATTGACTGTTTTGATCGTAAATTACGCATCAAAACTACTGTTTACACTTTAATTGCATCTACCCCAGTTAGTGATATTGTATTAAGTTTTCCGATTTTGCTTTTGTGTATTTATTGCATCGAAGCATACTTGGTCGACTTTTACTTGATTTATTTAGTTAAGGTTTGAAAATTCTTTTACATATCCTGTTTTTGTCACCGTTCTAGTTGATTTTCAAGATGGCTAGGTCTGGTCATAAATGTGGACAATCATACTGCTTATTTTCCGTGGATGGAGGGATGCAATGTGATGAGTGTAATAAGTGGTTCCATAAGATGTGCACCCGACTAAGCCCCACTGCATATAAAAGGTGCTCAAAGCCCAACTCTCATTGGCTTTGTAGTTTTTGTTGCTCGAGCAAAACATTGCCTATCCAGGAAGCAATTAGTCTCCTGGTGTTGGCTAATAAGAAGATTGATGAGGGCTGAACTGGCGACATTGATACTGATGGCGAAGATTGCGTTAGTGTCGTGAGTGCTGTCACGGCGCAAGCCAAACATCTAACTGTGCAACCCGCTATTAAACCGTCTACCCCGAAACAATCAGTGAGTGACACCTCATTAAATATTGGTGGCCATGTTACTACAGCAGCAACCGGTGACCCAGATAAAACAAATACTGTCCCGAGTGGTTCTAATGTGGATGCTACGACTGATGGAATATGGATGACACGGAAACGCAGAAAATTAGGAAAGACAGCTAAAACTAATGACCGTTTACTTGACAAGTCCTTGGTGGACTCTCAGACCAATCCGCCAAAGTCCCATAGTAAAGCTTCGTCTAACATTGTTGTGAGTCACTCGCTCGACTCCCAGGACTCTGTTACAACAAAAACTAATCTTAAGATACCAGTAGTTAAAATACAGGATCTAACGTCACGGTCGAAAGCTGTGAACACAATTTCAAAAGAAGCCTATAATTATGGAAACTACTTTACTTGCTTCAACTAACAATCAAACGATTATTATTATTACTATTATTATTATTATTATCGTTATTTACCATATTATTCACCCGCTTTTATACTCATACAGCGGCTCGTCTTTGGTGGAAATTCGACTGTGTCTAAATGTTCTCGAGTCACTATCCGGTTGAAAATTGTATGTTACCACCGAATGCGAATACTGACCGTGAGTTTGACCACAAACGAAAGATGTTACGTAGGGAAATTGGGCAAAACTTGCTTAAGGACCGAGAAGCCTGGTGGTCGAAGCGTGCTAATGAGTTGAAAGCAGCAGCTGCATCTGATAACTACCGGGAGCTCTTCCAACTCATCCGAGCCACTGGCAGCAAGAAGTCTGGTGTGAGTGAAACAATCTGCGAGGATGATGGGATGCCAATCACTAACATCCATCGACGTCTTGGACGATGGGCAGAATTTTTCGAAGGGCAGTTCAACTGGCCTGCTGCTCCGGCAACATCGGTCAGACTGTCCTGCCCTCCATGGCCGGTGATGACTGATCCACCAAACGAGGAGGAAGTCCGCAAGGAACTCCAACTCTTGAAGCGTTACAAATCACCTGGCCCAGATGACTTACCTCCGGCTCTTTTTAAAGATGGTGGTGACTTTTTGACTAAGGAATTGACGACGTTGTTTACAAAGGTTTGGGAACTAGAGTGTGTACCAACGTCATGGAATGAGTCGATAGTTGTCCCTATCTTTAAAAAGGGTTCACGTCGTTCCTGTAACAACTATCGGGGGATAAGTCTACTTCCGATTGCGTCCAAGCTATTGGCTTCCGTCATACTTCGTAGGTTGTTCAAAACCCGAGAAAGATTGACTCGCGAGGAGCAGGCTGGGTTTCGTTCTGGTCGAGGATGTATTGATCATATCTTCACCCTCCGCCAAATGTTAGGACACCGCCATACTTATCAAAGGCCAACAATCGTAGTGTTTCTTGACATCAGGGCTGCCTTCGATTCGTTGGACAGGACTGTTCTCTGGGATTGTCTATTGAAGAAGGGTGTGCCTGAGAAGTTTATTAACATCCTGAAAGCCCTGTATAAAAACACCTCAGGCAGAGTGAGGGCATACAACCACCTCTCTCCATTGTTCCATTCGAGCAGTGGGGTTAGGCAGGGTTGCCCAATCTCACCATTCCTCTTCAACTTTGCCATCGATGACATTCTGGAAACAGCTCTGATGAATGTAAGTAATGGTGGTGTGGATCTGTTGCCTGGAGAAAGACTTTTCGACCTTGAGTATGCGGACGATATTGTCTTACTGTGCGATAATGCCCAAGGCATGCAATCCGCACTTACTCAGTTGGCAATCGGTGTCCGTAGGTATGGTATGTGCTTTGCACCTTCGAAATGCAAAGTACTTCTACAAGACTGACAGGATTCCAATCCTGTACTCACCCTGGATGGTGAGCAGATAGACGTAGTCGAGATGTTCGTGTATCTAGGTTGCTTCATAATTGCTGGTGCCGACTCTGGGACTGCTTGGAAGAAGCGGAGAGGTGGTCAGTGCATGACATGGCGCCGTGGTATGAAAGAAAGCTGCAAAGGACTGGCTTGTGTTGGTCCTTCACGACTCCCTGATTGGGGTCTGAGAGATGGTGCTACACAGTGGCTAGAGACGTTATCAGATATGGCTCAGAATAGAAGCCAATGGCGATCCTGCTGTAACCTTCTTTTACTTTTTTCATAAAAAGTGGTTGTGTCTCCCTTACCTGAAAGATTTTTTCCGGTTGTACCTTTCCTTTCCCCCATTATTGCTATTATTATTACACTACCTTACACCAATCTGTTCGTTATTGTTCCCCTTTTCTTTCACGCTCCTTACTTCTTTTTTTTCTTCCTTTAAATTCTCATTGTTTTGTGTGGCGCATATATATTTGGTTCCCTCTTGTACCAATATTTATGTGTTCAAATAAAATAATAATACCTAGTTTAATTATTTGGAATCTAGAGGAGTCGAAAGACAACGACCCTGCTAGAAGACATGCACATGACCTGCAGTTAGTGGAGTCTGTGGTAAGGAATGTACTACCTGAAGAGGTTTCAGGGGTACATATTACAAAAGTAATACGACTTGGTAAATGGGTTGGAGGCGAGACCCAACCAAGAAGAATCCTGAAGCTGGTTCTCGGGAGTTTTGAAGAAAGAGACATATTATTGAAAAGCGCACTAAAAACTCGTGCCTCAAATATCCGTATTCGACCAGATTGGCCGCTTGAGGATCGAATCAAGTGGAAGAATGCTCTTACGGAGTTGAGGACTCGCAAATTAAATGGCGAAAATAACCTTACCATTAAGGGTTTTCGGGTAGTCAGGTCTTGGAAGCCAATGCTTCCGAGGCCTGTATGGGTAGAACGATTGATTTCCAAAACACCTTAAGTGTGTGCTACACGAACGCTCGTAGTCTTAGAAATAAAACGTCCGAGCTAAGTCTGATGGTGCAAGAATTATGTCCCGATATAATCGTTGTTACAGAAACTTGGTTCACCGTTGATATAGACTGTTCTCCTTTCATTGCTGGTTATATCTGTATCAGAAGTGATAGAGTTTCAAGTCGCAAGGGGGAGGTATAATATTATACGTTAGGGATCACTTTCGTATACAATCAACCATATCGGAGGCTCATATCAGTGGCACATGTGAGGTTGCATGTTGTAAGATTAAATCTAGAAATGGGTTAGTGACTATAGGGGGAATATACCGTAGTCCGTCTTGTCTTGCTGACGACTTTATCCTAAGACACATCTGTTCTTGGAGTATGGCAGAATGTTGTCTCATCATTGGGGACTTCAACGCACCGCATATCAACTGGATAGAGCTTACAGCTCCAGGTAGTGGTTTCGATAGCGACCTTTTATCTACCGTTATTCAGTGTGCACTTGTACAATGTATCACAAAACCGACACATATTGATTTGCATCATGTTCCGTCACTGCTGGACCTCGCCCTCACCCACCACTCTGAGGATGTCTTTGATATCCAGCACCTTCCTCCACTAGTGAACAGTGATCACGTTGTAATTCACTTTAAGTTTAGGACACATGGTATACAATTCGTATCTGCTCCACCCCGTCCCAATATCTGGCGAGCTAATATTCCGGAAATCAGAAACCGTGCTATCTCGACTGATTGGTCGGTCGACGCGGATGGATTGATCGAAGATGAATGGAATAAGTTTAAGGCTACATTCGAGTCCGTAACGTCGCCGTTTATCCCATGGTCAGCACGTAAGCTATCACATTGCCCTCCATGGATTAATAAGGAAACCCGGAAGCTGTTAAAGCGTAGGAAACATTTCTGGGACTTATTCTTGTTGACAGGTCATGCACCATTTAAGCGTGAGTATCAAAAATACCGTAATATCTGTAAGAAAACCATAGCGAAATCCCGTACCACTTACGAACGACAGTTAGTATATGATAGCCGTACTTGTCCGAAACGATTGTTTTCGTATGTTAAACGGCAAATGAAACGTAGTGATGGTATTCCCCCGTTGCTGTTACACGAAAATTCAGAATTACTAGCTGAATCAGATCGAGCAAAAGCTGAGACTTTTTCAGATTATTTTAGCGAAGTCTTCTCTACGTTTATTGTAACAAATACTTGTCCCACTCACACCGAGATACCAACCATTGAATCTGTACAGGTGACTGAGGAAACTGTCCTTCCGTTGATAACTAACCTCAAACCTGGTAAGATACCGGGCCCTGACGGGTTACATCCACGGTTGCTGTCATCTCTTGCGGACATTATTTCAAAACCGCTTGCGACACTCTTCAACATGTCCCTCTCACTCGCCCAACTCCCTAGAGATTGGAAGGACGCTATAGTTAGTCCTATATTTAAGGACGGTCAGCGACAGATAGTATCTAACTACCGGCCTGTCAGTCTAACTAGCATAGTCGTTAAGTTACTCGAAAAGATAATTCGGGTTAGGTTGCTAAGCCACATAGATTTACACAATCTGTTAGCTCCTGAGCAACACGGATTTCGTAACAAGCGTTCATGCTTGACTAACTTGCTTATTGCGAGGGAGGATTGGACAGCAGCCCTAGATCACGGTCTGTCTGTCGACGTGATATTCATGGATTTTAGCAAAGCGTTTGACAAGGTTTCACACGTAGGTCTTATGCAGAAGCTCACGAGCTTCGGAATAATAGGTACTGTACATGAGTGGATAGGAAATTTCTTATGTGACCGCAGACAGAGAGTTAGGGTCAATGGAACGCTATCCGATTGGAAGCCGGTCAAAAGTGGTGTACCCCAAGGCACCATCTTAGGCCCTCTGCTCTTCCTTCTCTACGTTAATGAGTTACCGCTGTTACTTAGGTCGTCGACATTATTGTTTGCAGATGATGTAAAAATCTGGAGAACAATAAAAAGTGCGGCTGATCATGTGGATCTTCAAGCTGATTTAGACGATTTAGTTAGATGGGCTCGAGAGTGGGGCTTAGAAATCAATGCTAGGAAGAGTGTACTAATGCACATCGGTCACGGTAATAGTTACCGTTACACTATTGAGGGTAAACCTCTTCCATGCGTTCAAGAGCATAAGGACTTAGGAGTAATATTAAGTCATGACTTAAAAACAACTGCGCATTGCAAAGCAGCCGCTGTCAAAGGTTTTCGTGCGTTATGGTCACTTCGCCGAGCGTTCAAATCTTTTGACGAGGAAACGTTTCGAATTTTATATCCCATATATGTTAGACCACATTTAGAGTACTGTATCCAAGCAGCTAGCCCGTGTCTAGTAAAGGATACTAACTCCCTTGAGCGTGTCCAGCGTGTGGGAACGAAATTAGTGAAGGGTCTTTCTAGACTCCCTTACGATGAGCGCTTAAAACGCCTAAATCTTTTCCCCTTGTCGTATCGTAGGACACGAGGTGACCTTATACTGGCATTTCGTATCTTTAATTATGATTTGGGTGTTAATATGTCTTATCTTTTTGCTCCCTCCAGCACTAATAATCTCCGAGGTCATAGCAAGAAGGTTCATAAACCACGATCTAATAAACTTAAAGTGGGATCCCGTTTTTCTCATCGAGTAGTCAATCATTGGAACGCCTTACCCGAACAAGTGGTATCAGCCCCATCAGTGAATACTTTCAAGGAAAAGCTGGACCTTCACTGGAAAGCAATGTGTCAGGATTAACACAGGTTCATCAACCTACTATCCTTATTACTGAAGACTGATAACCGGCCAACCTGTGTTAAATAAGAAATCGTTCATCCCTATTATAATTTTTTTCGGTGGGAATCGAGCTAATGGTATGTTTGAAACATTTATGAATAAGCATGTTGCACATACCTCGTGTAGGCTAAGTGTACTCATGATGTTCATTAAAGGAGGAAAACTGGTTATTATGAATATTTGTAGACTTCAAACATATACTTGTATAGTTTCTACTGGTTCAAGCATTTTGTAACACATATTAAGCCAAAAAATGCTATTCCAGTTCCGGACATATTTATCAAATTAAAGGGTGTCAGAGAAGTATGACTTCTTACCTGAACTTGTCCACAAACAAAAATAAGAACAGAATTTTCGTTTGGATGAACATCAACATTAGTTATACCCACCTGAATTTTATTAGCAGGAAGTGACTTAAAAATACTATTTGAATCCTCAGAAAACTTACAAGAAACTTTTCACCAATTTTATCTTGACCTACTAACACATCACCTTCGTATGTCATCCTTGCTTGGTTCTATAACAAACATTTAAATGAGTGAACCAACTACGTGATAAAAAAGTTTGAGAGAGCTTCTATCTCGCTGCATGGTATCGTAGTACTCCATAACGAAACTTTCACCTATCTGTCGATAGTTTTCAGGATACAGCGAGTGGTTCAACATAACTACCGTGCCGAATAATCGGAATATGACGCGGGCTTGAAGTGGTGTAAAACTCTATATTCAATATCCAATATCATAGCAACAGGCTAGCATATAATATTTGATTTTTCGCTTTTATTTAATGCTGTCATGTAGTCGTTCCGCACTTTTTGTTTGCCTTTAGCGACACACGGAGGGCAAACGTGTATATTTTATCGAGTGGTTCAAATCGTTCTAGACGGAATAGAAGAAACCTTCGCCTAACGGGCTTCCTTATCTAGTGGCCGCGGACCACCGATGCCGCCAAGTTAGAACCCAGGTAAATTTAACAATAAGAGAAAAAATTAAGTTTCATCGAGATGCTCTCCTTGATCATTAAGAACATATCAAGTTTTCTTACAAAGCACTCCCTGAAAGTCTCTTGGACTAGCTCACCTAGCAGTGAATTCCGGAATTTACCTATTCGTAAAGAGTGAAAGATATGCCTATATTTCGTTTTGTTATTCTCTGTTTTCGAATTTAAGGCGCTACCCTTAAGGTTTGTGTTGGGACTGAGGTTAGGTGGGAGTTTAATAGGATGTTCAAGAGTGTTTAGGATGCTGTAAGTCGTTAGAAGGTCACTTCTAAGACACCTATAGTCTAATGAGTAAGTGTTTAGTGATTTGAGACACTCTTCCAAAGACTTGAAGTTAAGTCTTAGAACTGATTTCCTGGCTCACCTTGGATACATTCTAATGAATTCTTATCCTATTGAAGGGAGGTGGGAAACATTGTACTTTCATACTCTGAATGAGGTTGAATAAAACTGTTGAAAACCAAGTGAAAAGTTCCACCATCTAACTGCAAGAGAAGAAAAACATGAGATAATTGTATGATACAACAAAGAACCTCGCTGGAAATCATCGTAAATCAGAATGGCCAGTGAAAACGAAGGAAGGAGAGGTAATCACCAACATTGAGGAACAGCGAAACAGGTGGGTAGAACACTTCAAAAAACTCTTGAATCGACTAGCCCCACTGAACCCAACCAGCATCGAGGTAGCACCAAGGGACCTCTCAATCAATGTTGGCCCACTAACAATTGAAGAGATCAGCATGGCCATCAGACAAATGAAGAGCGGCAAAGCAGCAGGACCAGACAACATTCCAGCACGGGCACTGAAAGCAGACGTAGCAGTAACTGCAAGGATACTCCACACTCTCTTCAGCAAGATTTGGGATGGAGAACAAGTACCAACAGACTGGAAAAAAAGACTTCTGGTCAAAATACCAAAGAAAGGCGATCTCAGCAAGTGTGAGAACTACAGAGGTATTACTCTTCTCTCTATAACATTATTAAGGTGAACCATCAAGTTGACAAAATATTTGTCAGGAAATTCTCGTGGATTGACGGCAGGTTGTCGTAGAATTCGTCGTCAAATTCTTCATTCTATTAGCCGATAAGCCTATAATGCAATCAGGGGTACATCTAAAGATGGGTTACCTAAGTCTTATGCATGGACTACAACATGTCTGAGATGGACTACTTTCCAGTGTGAAGTGTTGAAAGTAGGTCTGTTGTTGTTCGCTTAACTTTGAAGTCGAGTCAGATCTTTTTGATGCGTCAGCTAATCAACTCGATCACAAGCTTCCAAGTCTCACAATTTTGGGGGAAATTTGATCCATTTTGGTGAAGCCGCATTAGAAAATTTTGGGGAGATGTCAGCCAAACCCCAAAACTTCCCAAAAATTTTTTCAGAATCTTAATACAATTTGGGAAAAGCGTCCTGTATTTAATAATAAAAACTCAAAAATTTTCACAATTTTGGGTGAACTTCGCGTTTCCCCCAAGAGTTCGGGTTTTTCTTCAAACTTTGGAGAAGGACATCTGACTTTGGGGTTCTTCCCCGAAATTGCCTCGAACGTGGTAGATTGTATTCAGACGATACTTATTGAGGAAGATCATTTATTCAAACTAAGAAGAGAAGAGCTCTTAGTACAGAGCCTTGAGAGTATTCCCTGTGATATTCTGTAGCCTGAAAAAAGTCGAGTTTACTCTGACCTCGGAAAATTGATTATTTAAATATCGAAAAGGCCAATTAGTTAAGAGTCACATGATACCTAACCGTTCGAACTCATTAATAGGACATATATGGCTGGCCTTATTGAAGGTGTTTCAGAAGTCGGGGTATGAGTTATCAACCATCCTTTGTGATCAAGGATAGTTGTTCATCTGTTCACTGGAGTCAGCAGTCTGGGTACACGAGAATAACCCTTACTGCAACCGTTCTGTTAAGGTGAAAAGAATTTTTTGGAGAGTAAGTAGTCGCATAAACCATCACATAACAGTGTGTTTATGATCTTTCAGGGTATTGAGAGGAGTGCTGTAGCTTGAAGGTTCGTTGCTTCGGCCTCCGTTGAAATTTGGTATGATGTCCACCAACCTCCAATTTTATGAGACCGTGCTTCGGCTTAGCAAATATGAGGGCATCATATTAAGAGGTTTTCCCAAGATTGAAGCCGTTTTTCTCAGTGTAACAGAGGGAACCATATCCAGACGGTATTGATCATCCAAAAAAATTTAATGAAAAAACCAACCGATCAACTTAAGTATTTCACATTGAACTTTAGACCTCTTTACCCATCTGCCTCCTAGCCTCCTCTCAAATATTCTCATACTTTTCTCGAAACTGTGATAAGACAGCGTTATAGCTTCCAGTGAAGCCCCTGAATTTTAGAGCAAGTGAGCGATCCCGTCTTTCTCCCCCCCTTAGTGGGTTGAGAACTGTTCGTTACCTTATTCTGTCTTGACTTTTATTTATTCAGTTGTCCCATTAATTGTAATCGATTCAGTTAATCCGCTATGAGTAATAATCATCATAGCATTACGATACTACGCGTGTCCAAGCGTCAATTGTTTAATGGACTATGCGTAAATCTGAGTAAATTTAGATCGAGAAAGTGAAGGTGTAGAAGAGGATTAAGAACAGGTTGCGTTTATTCAACTGGGCTTACCACTGCAGAATTATGATCTACTATAAAATTAGTACTGCTCTAATAATAGACCTGATCCTTAAATTTTAGGTTTTTCATGATGTAACTGCCTAGTCCATGAGGTCTTACATGGAAATCACATCATCGTCTACGCCAATTCATTGCATCGTAACAATTTTCAATACATGATGAGGAACACATTAAGTTTTTGAGATAGGACAATATATTTAATGTGATTTAAAGATTATGCCACAACACTTAGAACTGACCACGCCTGCAAGGCCGAGCCATGCCTTCCGATCAATTCGAATTAATTCAATTTCTTGTTCCCGCCTTCTCCATCGTTAGGTTGTGCAGTTAGGGCCCGATTCCACTACAGATATTTGACCGCGGAAACAGTTTGAGCGGTATCAAACTGATGCGATGCATCACATTCTTTGGTAAACGTTACCATCTGGTGGGGTTCACCTGAAGAATTGGATAGTTTGTCCGCGGCCGTAAAACGAAGAACCATGATTTTTAGATCCTGCATGCTAGTTGATGGCACTCGTAGAAGGTGCATTCGGAGCGCACCCAGCAAAAGCCCCTCAACAATTTACGATCGCATTAATTCTTCTCGCCCCGAGAAATCTAGGTGAGGAAAAGCTTGGACTGCTGTTAGTTGCAAAGGGTGAAGATAGTCAATGGGATCTTCACTCGCCTTCTGGTGACGGGATAGAAACTGACTGTTCACCTGCTGAGTGTACATGGTTAACGAAAAACATTCACCTAAAATTTTCAAGTTTTGGGACGAAGAATTGCTTGCCGCGAAGCCGTTGCTCTTTTTTCTGCCTCATCATCTAGGTAAAATAAAAGTTAGTCAAAGTGTTCTGTCGTCGGAACTCAACACAGATATGCCATTACTCTGACTTTCCAGATAGCATAATCTGATAAGGTTCAGAGTAGTGGTGGTTGGAGAGTGTTTGTACCGGTTGCTACTTTGACTGGGATCACCGGCGGATCACCATCGTTTCCATCACGCTTTGCCGTAGTCACCTCCATCACCAGGTGTAGCACGTAGCATTAGCGTTTGCTTGGGATCACGAGTGATCGTGCAGCAAATCACAAGAGCAAAACCGTGACGGTTCGCGCACAAAAAGGGTAAACTTATTACAAAATATTTTCATCCACCGTTCTGCAGGTTCAGCTTACGTAGGGCTTGTTCCTCTTTTTCCAGTACATTTACTCTTTTCTGCCCTGCAATAAGAAAAACCGACTCACGTTAGTAACGTCACACGTGATGAGTTTTGACACTGTTACATGTATTGTATTTGGAATTCGAATTTAAGCAGTCATCAAGTACAAAGGAATCACCAGTCCATGCATACACCACATTTTATTTTCATTTGCAGTATACGCTTCACTACTCACCTTTTTAATTTCTTTTACTTAGACAAACTGACGTATTGTATTAAGTGGCTCAACAGTAACATATAAAAGATGATAATTGATTTGCTGTTACTTGAACAGATGTTTTCAAGACTAGTTCATCAATTCTAATATTATTTCTGAAGATTAAATTTAGTATGGTCAAACTTCTTTGTGGTTAACTATCAACGCGTACTGTAGCAAAAAGACCTATCTTTGATTTTTTGCTAGCGAATCCCTAAACGTAGTGGAAAAACTACTGGCTTTTGCTTAATCATTCAATTATAAAACATTTTTCCAAATGCAGCTAAACTAACTGCATACTGGCTATTTAAATTGACATTGTTTATCGGAAACTAGGGAGCTATATTTAAAGGATATGGGTCTTCATATCAGTATCTAATAAATTATTTTCATACAATCTAGATTATCTGGCTGGACTCATTTATGAAGATGGTAACGATAGACGATGCCAGTAAAGATTACATGAAGAAGTCCTCGATCTTTTGTATTACAGCTAGATACAGTAGATTAATTAATCACAAATAATAATTTTATGCTGAAATAGACAACATATGTAGTTGTTTCTTATTGTTACTACACTTCAGGCTTTGATTTTGCATCACGTATTCAGCTAACAC